TTTCCAACTTTATGACCACAGCATACATCGCATTGATCTTTTTTGGGATGAAACAGACTAAGATTCTGTTTTAAGAATACATTGTCAAAACCCTACGACTAAGACATTTTAAGGAATCTAATTCGCATTTACTGACGTATTCTTTGTATAATTGTGCCATGGTATGAAATACTGGTTCTAGGTATCGTCTGGATGAGTTTGCTCGACAGTAGACGATGGCATCTTCGGCAGGCTATCTAAAAATTGCTGTAGACGCTCGTGACCATCAGAGTTCTTTTGGAGCAATCTACATTCCGAGAAATCTCAGAAGGCGGTGGCATAGCACAATCTGTCGTTATCAACCAGTATCGGACAAACCATTATTTAATACCCAATGTATTTAATAACATTTTTTCTCTATGTCGCTTTTGTAAGTCACGCAAAGTAATAACTTTTACATTGAGCGTCAACTCTTGAAAAGTCATCAGGCGTGGTATCATTATCGCCCATTTTGTCCATTTTCGTGTTCTGAAGTAAAATATAATATAATTACGATATAGTAATCATTAAAAAAACTGCGTAAAAATCGCTAATTATATCGATGAATACCGCAGCAGTCAGAAACTCAACACAGAAGTACATTGTAAGTCATTCAGACATCGAAACCAAGCAAAGAGAAAACCGCCTAACTCAACGAAACTGTTCATTCCAACACCGCTTAAGTATTCATGTTTTTAAATGCAATCGTATGACGTATTTTAATAGATAAAATATGAATACTATGTTTTATTTAAGTTACCTTACCTTTAAACTACATCAGTGGGGCCAGTCCGTTACAAAAAATCCGCTTTTTTAAAAACGACAAACGATCTTATAAGGTGCGACGTGGCACGGCCAAATTACTATGGCGTTATGATGACTTGCGCGGTGTTAGCGCAGCCAATGAGTTGTGTTGTGTTACTAGTTTTTGAATAACGCGCTCTTATTGGACGATATTACCTCTAGCGAGAGCTCATTAGACGCGCGGGAAAGTAATCTATCGAATGGTGTAAAAAACGTCATTTGGCTAAAATATGACTTGTGCGGTATTGTTAGCTAAGCGACGAGATACGAATTGACGAATTTCCAATGGACTTGGAAATTCCTAGCAATTTTTGTATATATCTCATTCGCACTTGTTTGTTTTGCGGCTTGCCGTCTTGCTTGCGGGGAGAGCGAGAGGTCGGGTGGAAGTAGGATAGCGCGCGGCAAGAGTCCAGCGCGTAGTCTAGTGTGTTTGTTGTGTTATAAATAAATTAAAAATAATAAATTAAAATAAAATTTAAGTTAAGTTGTAATTTATAAATAATTAAATAATATATTTTATAATTATTTATAAATTACAACTACATTCTGTTTTGGTTCACACAACGGTGTTCCTTTTTTTAGCCATAGCCAACAGCTTGATTATTTTATGTCGTATTTTTTAATTGATTCATTTGGAATTTTGCAAAGCCGAGGAAATGTCCGTAATAATTTCAGTGCGCTAATTAACTAGCATTCAGCGTAAACATTGGAAATTAAACTGAACTGTTTCCTCGTAACATTATATTTTTTTTTTTTTGTTTTGACTGCATTTTGAAATACTACTGCCGTGGAGTACATTACTACTGATTGATTTATTTGAATTAAAAATCTACTTAATTGTGAATTTAAATAAATAAAAAGGTTGATTAATACAATTATTTTTAAATTAAATATCCTCACTTTTAAATTAAAATAACTTACCTTTATATATTCTCGAAGAACTTCTGCAATAGCTCTGCATACAGTAGGTACAAATAGTGCAATACAACTATCAGAAATTCTAAACAGATACATTAAACTTTTGTATGAATCTACAGTTGCCGGAAATTGAAGGGTTAAAGCAAGTTTTGTTGATGCAGAAATTGGTTCTCTCATGTTGGTCGTCTGTTTCTTAATTAATGGGCTAACTTTATTCAAAAGTAATTCAAAGTCTGTTCGTGACATTCTAGTAAAGTTTTTGAATAATATATCATCTAATTCTTTACATAATGAAAATTTTGTCCTCTTTGCCAAAAACGATCGCACCCAGATACGCCTATTCCTTTTCTTTCTTTTTTGTTTTTATTAATAATAAAAAAGCACTACAAGCCGCCGCAGCAAGAACAATGTCGTCCATAGCGAGCGAAAACTGAAATGCTCGTGTATGACAGTATTGCCTAGTTGATGATGTTGCGCCATATCGCTCAATATTGTATTGCGCAGTATTGATGCTTGTTGCCGTTGCCGTAAATTGCTTGATGTAGTCGTGACGTCATAATTGACGAGTATTGACTGGAATTGAGCAATTTTAGTTGCCCGTGTAAGCGTACCTTAAATTTCATTTGTTTAGCTGTTGTATAAATACGTCATCAAGTCTGTATTCCTCAAAAGATTATTTATTAGAAATGCGTCTTTTGAAGTAGACATTTAATTGTGTAATTTCATTTACTGCCTTAAAATCGCCACCATATCAACTAATGAAGTACTTAGTTCACACATTTGTATGAAGTACTGAGTTCTAATGTATCTGTCACCGTAAAATTGTAAACACCGTTAGATTGTAATCTATCTCGCGAGATTGTAAACTGTCGGAAGATTGTCAACTCAACGTACTGCTTACAATTTAACGTAATATTATTTTGTAGATTGTAATCTATCGAAGTGAAACCGTCAAATTACAGTCTTAAAATTGTCAAATTGTTAACTGTCCGAAGGCTGTCCCTGATTGGTCCGCTTTATAGTAGACCGTTCTATGTTTATAGAGTTAGGAATGAAACACTGGTCAAATAAACTGAATGCACTTCAAGAACTGTGACATCAAGTATTTATTAATTACTTAGTAGGTAATCAATAATTCTGACATCACATGGAAAAAAAATTGTATCAAAATAAAAAATCAGAAACGTAACAATTTTTCCTCCCCAAACATAAATTCAAATTGAAAAAGTAATTAAATTTTCTTTCATTTCATTTCTACTACAAATAAATGAGAGAAAATATATGAGGTAGTTTTAGGAGTCATGTACCGTACACCACGAAATATGTGTCAAATGTAATAGTGTATAAGGTAGATAAACTATAAAAATAGGTGAATAAAACACTAATAGACCACAAGCCCATGAACAAAAATACCTGTGAAATGACCCAACGTGAATTACGCCATACGAAGCAAGTAATTTTTAAAAAATCTTTGAATGCAGAATTAATAACTTTTAAAAATAACATAAAGTCTTCTTTTAGTAAAATACCCTATCGACGATATTTAAGGTACTTTCCCTTCATTTCCCATAACTTTGGGACGCCCTGTATTGGTAGGCGGTGGTAGCGGACTATCGAAAGTGTACGGCATTTATCTTTTATTGAAGATTGTCTAAAGTATTAATAACCTGTGTTATTGCCGTACAGATAAAAGTCACCGGAAAATGACTCTTTTCTGAGGAAAGTAATTTACCCCATACACCTATGTGTTCCACAAAAAATGTACGGCATGCTGGAAAATGTTATCTATTTGTGAAGTACTCTCAAGATCATTTAATTTTATGTTGTTTCATATCATCATCACCTAGGTATATGCTAATCAGACATATGTTGCGACCCTTGGCTTTCGACCGTTCCCCTGGAAATATGTACGGCGTTTACGGGTAAAGTATCTGTATATGTGTCCAAAAGGAATCACACAAATGCCGTACAGTAATAAATGACCTATATTGCTTCTGCAACTGTCGTCGAATTAAAAATTTGCACCGACTTCCGGTACCATCACTTTTGTACGGCACTAGGTTTTTCGACATTTATTTTTAATCATCTATACACTTATAACAAAGCCGTACATTAATAATTAGTCGAAATTCCCCCATTGTACCTGAGAAAGTCCATTCACTCACGTACTCACATGTACCGCTCAGAAATGACGGCATAGTGCTCAGAGCTATTTTCAGATATAGTAACAGCCTTCTAAGCGTAATTCATGTTGGGTCATTTCACAGGTATTTTTTGTTCATGGGCTTGTGGTCTATAATCAATTTGCTGTCACATTTTATTTAAATTTTCGTGGAGCACATCCAAATTCAAACGTAATCATTGTTGCTTCCCTTTAAAAATATCCATTTATTAAGTAATGTAAAGACATCCTAATTCTGTGACTTCGATAAGAAGTTGATCTGCAAGGCCAAATGTGGTGAATTCAAGATTTATGAGGCAACTTTAAGATTTCAGCTTAGCGATGAATCAAAGGGCCGTTACGTCTAGTTCGGTTTCATTGAAGATAAATCGTCATGGATAAGATGACTTATCCCTAAAGACTCGGCTTTAGAATACGAATGTCATGGATATTTTATTACATATTATTAGTAAGTACTTTAATTCTTAGATAAAGAAGAGAAAGTTTTGTATTGAAATAAAATGATACTGCATTTCCGAACTATCCGCTAGTATAAAAATATCAAGAAAAAAACAATACCTGTAGATAATTTATATATTTCGTAAACTAAAGCAACTTGTTTATTATAGTGCATTACGAAAATTTTATCCTAAAAAATGTGTAAATAAAAGCAAGCTAACTATGTTTATTGTCAGTTCTTCTCTTCCATTCTACGCCCATTATTTGAGAACTGGCAGTAAATGTAAAATTAGAAGCATTTAGCATTTAATATGTATTTCTTTTTGACGTTCATAAGTGTACATTGTGTTACCTAAATGAATAAATGATTTTGATTAGCACCGCGTTCAAAAAAAGGGTATATACAATAATTTAATAATCTCATAACAAATAATAATGTCCTCAACGCGAGATAAAGACGGACTTTACGACATGACCGTGGTATTCCGAAAGCAAGGAGACGGACAGCTTTTACGAGCTCATCCGAAACACTAAGGTTTTCTGACAGTAGACGGTTCCAAATTGTTAACTTAAAAATCGAATAAGCGTATTTCATTTTCAGCCTTACCCGGATATAAAGACCCTTTCTGGTTTTGAGTCAGTGAGTATATCCTGTGTTGGCCGCATAGTCTCGGTAGCTGTAACTCTCAACAGCAATGAACATGATGAAACTAATAATAAATTTAATTATTGGCAGAATACTAATCCTAGGGTGTTTTACAGTTGAATAACGTAACTATTCGTTATTTTATGACATCAAATTATTTTTTGAAAACTGCGCCATCTATACTCAGGAAACTTAACATATATCCGTCTCCAATTACTGTTAAAGCTAATCCATGAATTCTCCCTATTATTAAGTTAAAATATGTTAAATCAATAAAAACAAGTAATTTTTGAAACTTTATTAAATAGATACATTTCCATATAAAAATTGTCTAGTGAGACTATCTAATAGTAATTAGAGCTGAAAGATGACACAATATGTGAGAATAAATAAAATAAATTAGCATACAGATAGAACAAATTTATATTCCCAAAATTAATACCTGTACGCTGGTTGATGAAATTATAAACAATTATATTCATTATTTAATGTTTTTATGGCATAATTAATAGAGAATACGTCTAGTCACTTCCTTTGCAAATCTCAAGAAAACGGGACCTTTTCTATATATTAGACATATATACCGAGTAAAAGCTGTTCTTACGTCAATAATCGACTTGCCAAGTGGAGCTGGCGTAGACACGATCAGGCTGATCGGACCGAGTACAGCAGTAAGTGTTGTACGAATATTTTCCCGTACGTGTGTACTAGAATGATTACATAGTTTACTAGCCTTTTCTTTCACTGTTTATTTTCCGTTTTTTTTAAGTTTTTATACAATTCAAAATAATTTTAAACAATTAGCATAAAACTTCTTGCTAATATATTACATTATTAATTGCATTAATCTTGTCTAAGTATGTTTGTGCGCAGAGATGAGAACTTGAAGAAACTGATCGTTGTTGTTGATAACACAGAAGGCAAAAGATCAAGTGGCCGTTCACCAATCAGATGTACCGACCAAGTGAAAGAACCATCGTCCTCAATACACTGTAATAAGAGAGGCGCTGGACAGAAACCGGTGGAAACAGATAGTCCGCTCCAGAGGATTCCTTTCTGACCAGACATGAGCTACCGTCCAAAGAGTGAGAGAAGTATGTTTTTAAATCACAGTATACTTACTCCCATGAGCTTCACCAATACTGTTGGCTGAGACATCGAAAATAAGGAAATTTTTTATAAGAAGCAATTACCATTTAGTACTACAGTAAATATTGAATATACTAGTGTATATTTAACTGTTTATAAAATATATTTGTTAATTACTATAAACGCAATCTAATCATTAAGCCAATACAATACCAATATAAGTGTATTTTGACGGACGATGGTTTAAAATTGACAGGTATGTTACACATTTGAATTAATAAATTTGAGCAGTTAATCTGTTTACTCGGTCTGAGCAAACTCTGCTTGTGTCATCCCGGCATCAGCTTTGTTAACTTGTTTTTATTGAATTTCAACAAAATACTTTTTAGATACTATGTTAAAAAGATTTACTAATTTTGTTGATAATTAACTTGCATTAATTCATCTAATAAATAAACTGTTATTCTGACTTGGCTTTAAGTAAATAAAATTAGGCATTTTAAATTATGAACACAATTTGTCTGAGATATAAAATCAAGTTACAATATATATTTTAGGAAGTCATTCTTGAGACGTCGATAAACTGATGCAGTTTTAACTCCAGGACTTGCTTTACCTGCAAATAATGGGCAATGAGAGATAATTCGTTTAGTTAGTTAGTTATTATTACTGTTAGCGCCATCTAGGGTGCCATGCTGAATATTTTGTAAGATAAGTGTTTTTAATTGAATTTATTTACTTCGAAAATTATTTGTTTATTAACATTCTTTGAAATTGCGTATTTTAAGCGCATATTTTGCATGCTAAATATCTGCAAATATTTGATTAAGCATCGGAGCAATACTGATACAATACTGCAAGTTCAAGTATTGCCAACATTTTAAAGGCGAGAATTGAAAGCAATTATGAATCTTTCTAATATTAGTTCTCAAACTAAATTTATTCTTACATAGTTCATATTATAACCGTGAGAAAAAATAGACCTCTTTTGTTTATTAATGTGAAGAAAACAATTTAAACCTCATATTTTTGAATAAATATAATACATACCTTTTCTTTGGAGTTTCATCCTTAGCCTTTTTTTCGGCTTCGCGTCTCTTGGCGGCCTCTTCCCTCTGCTGCCTAATAATAGCTAGCCTTGCGAGGTCAGCTCTAGCCTGCTCTGTTTTGCCCTCTGCGTGTGCTTTCTGATAAGCTGCTGCTGCTCGCTGCCTTTCTATTTCTTCGCGTTCACGCCTGAAAAAGGAAGTATTATATTTAACCGTCTTGTTTCTATGTGATATTATATGAATATGATGGCTTATTTATTACAATTATGAAACTAAGCATATAAGCTTAATTTCATAATTTTTTATGTATGGGATCAGACTTAACAATAAGTCTCATTTCTGAATCTTACTCTTAGGCCCATATTTGTATCTTAAGACTCAAACTTGTCTTGAGCACTCCCAAATATGTTGAATTGCTTATAAAAAAAAAAATAGAGAAACATAATATATAAGAACTGTTTTTGTTATGTTATTATAGGTATGTTAACTAAAGCTGGCGGCTTCAACACATTTACACTTTGTGCTTGTGTAGTGTCTGTGAATAAGCGCGAGACGTAATGTCAAACTGAAATACAATCATAAATACATCATGAATAGACTGTCCGTCGTGTATGAGTGGACTAAAATGTATAGCATGGCAAAAAAATCATATTTTGAAACATACTGTATGTGAAATTGCATTAGTGTGAGTACTGTGAACCCGCCAGCTTTCGATAACCGACCTATACAAGTTAAATTTACCTTGAAAGTTGAGGTTTCTCTCCTTCCCCAAGGTTATCCAGATTGGATAGTTTCTTATTCTTTTTAACTACACGGTTTGGATTTTCTACTTCTATTAAGCCTGAAACACCTTTTGCTTTTGCAGGTGTCTGAAAATAATAATTGTTTATAAGTAATCTATTATTTAAATAAAATAAAGTTTTTACTGTTTGTACTTTATGGAAGATTACTTATTACAATCTAAATGATAATAAAAAGCTTTCTGGTAAAAATATATTATATATTTTACCTATTATAACTATATGTGACAAACCCTTTCTACTTAAAAAAAAAATACCAATTGCAATAAGTAGCCTTAATATTAATAATGCTTGCTGCTCTTGCAGGCAAACCATGTTCACAAAGTATTTTAAGTAATAGTGAGAAAATAAAATTAACTTAATACGATAAATACAGCAGTATAGACATTCAGGCTCAACAAATATTACAGGGTTAGGTAGAGGAAAAGGAATAATATATTTTTTAGATATGACATCTTTAATAGAACTAGTTGAATATAATGAAGAATAATCCACAACTCTATAATAGTTTGAATGACTTACTATAAGCCTTAAATACCTATATATACTGCTTAAAACAATTAGCGGAACAAGATTTTTCTCCTTTCTATTGCTTAAACTAAAATTAGATTTAAATTAACTTGTACGCAATTTTTTACCTTGTTAATTTGTTAATACTACAATACTACAATTAATAAAAAAATTCAATTTGTATTTTTTTTCATTAAAAAAAAATTAAAATGTGCATTGTAGACGAAAAACTAATTGGTGATAAAAAAGGTCCATCAAAGAAATATTCTTATATCGTTTGAATATTCGTCTTTAGTGACTTTCAGTAACGTGTGTGGCCTCCATGAGCCCTAATCACGGCTTGACAACGACGCGGCATGCTTCGTATGATCCTCCGAATATCTTCTTGTGGAATTCGCTCCCATTCTTCAATCAACGCTTCAGTGAGCTGCTGCAGTGTTTGAGGTGCAATCGGACGCTTCCGGATGCGCCTGTCAAGCAAGTCCCAAATGTGTTCAATTGGATTTAGGTCAGGGCTCATGGAAGGCCACTCCATTACACGGATTTCCTGCTGTCGTAAGTAATCTGACGTGATGGCTGCAGTATGCGGCCTGGCATTATCTTGCATTAAAAGAAAATCTGGGCCCATACCATATGCTGCAGGCCAAACATGATCTTCGAGCACATTTTCAATGTAAGTTTGAGCACACAAGCGCCCGGGAACAACGACGAGATCTGTGCGCTCGTCCAAACTAACTCCGCCCCAAACCATCACAGAGCCACATCCAAATTTGTCATATTCCTGGACTGCTGCTGCACTGTATCGCTCGCCTGGGCGTCTGTAAACACGGAGTCGACCATCGCAACGTGTTAGACGGAATCGTGATTCGTCAGTAAAAAGCACTGGCCTCCAATGTCGAAGTTGCCAATTAGCGTGATTTTGCGCGAACTGTCGTCGAGCTTGTCTATGTTGAATTGTTAGACGCACAGCCCGAACTGGTCGGCGTGATCTCAAATTGGCTTCCAACAACCTATTTCTTACCGTCTGGTCGGAAATTTCTACACCAGTAGCCGTCCTTAGTGTATTTTGTAGATCTCTTGCAGTTGTGGTGCGGTTACGTAAAGCACAGTTGACGATGTAGCGATCTTGCAAACGTGTAGTTTTTCTCTTTCGACCTTGACCACGCCTTCGTGAGTATTCTCCCGTCTCACGGTATCGCTTCCAAAGTCTGTAGATAACAGAAGGGGCTACTCCTAGATCATTTCCTACATAACGCATAGTTCGACCCTCTTCAAGCAAAGCGATAGCTCGGGAGACATGCAATTCAGTCAGATCTGGCATTATGACCTAAATTCACTCGCTTCAATGAATAACAATACTCAAAAGGCTCACTTCAATTTCTATTAATACTCAAAAGATTGAATAAAAACTACTTAAAATGTGTTTTCTGTGATTAGAAAGTAATGAAAATTCAAAGACGTCACTTTGTTTTTAGGTGTTTCTAGACACACTGCCACTTTATTATAGGACTACTAACCAAAACGCCGATGGTCTTTTGATTTTTATTTTCTTCGACAATGCCTTAACATTATCTAGTGGCCAGTAATAATTAAAACCTTAAGTAAAAAGTTTAGTTCTACTTTAAAGTTTTGTTCCGCTAATTGTTTTGAGCAGTATATTATGTCCCAGTCACCCTAGTTTCATAAAATTTAAACCTCTGTCACATCATCATGATTGTAAGTTTATATGTAAAAACCAAATAAATTTTTAAACAAAGGCATAGATTTGTAAATGTCATCATTTTTTTAAAATAAGCTCATTGCTTCATTTGTAAAAGTACAATTACTTACATCATCATCTGAATCACTTTCATCACTGCTTCCTGACCCAGACTTGTCAGACTCTTCCTCACTCGAACTTTCATCTCCATGTTCCTTTCTCCACCTGAAAAATTATTAAACAGTGCTACATTTCTTTACAAAAGATATAGATATTATATATTGGATTTAGAGTATCAAGATCACAGTATTACAAGATATAAGAGATTTAGATACTACATGAGCACTGTATCTGCAATTCTTTTGTCTCATCAACTCTGTGTCTCTTGTCTATCCTAACATAAAATTGTCAGTGATAGTAATTAAATAATATTTGTTCAAAGCGTCTTTGCTGACTTCATTTGGTGTAAGATGCTTAGATGAATTACATATTAAAAAATAGGGTAATGTGATTTACCAAAAATTTTGTACTTGAACACATTAGTCTTGTATAATCTTAAGTACCAAACAAATACATGTCATTTGTTTATAACCTAGACTATTTTTATGGTTGATAATTACGTTTTCTAGAAACAAAGCTGTTCATGTAAAGAAAAAAAATAATATTGCATCATTGGATAATAATGACTCCTATTCTTGCATTCGAATTTAAGACAATACGATCTATACTGAAATACGTACTTCTTTTTCAGCTCTTCCTGCTTCCGTTGCTCTTCTAACTCTTCGGGGCTCGTAAATTTGCGGTTGCGACCCTTGTGGTTAGTGTACTTTCCTTTAAAATAAATTTCAATCTATTAGACAGGTTAAGACCCAAACAAAAAAGCACATTTGAAAAATAACATTGATCGACATTGAAGTAGACTTGTAATGGAAGCTTACTTACCACGGGGCATTTTGAATAGATGTTTATGAAATTGGTAAAGTAGAAATTTTTATTTGTTTAAAAACTTATATTTAGTTAAATTTAGGAATTACGGGTGGAATAAGAATTTATGAATCTATGGGTTTGGGTTTGTCGAATTTTTGATTGAAATTTGAATGACGTCAATAGAGAAGTCAAATGTCAAGAGTATATTGTCAAATACGGACCACAGAATCTTAATAACTGTTACTGAATTACTTAAAATTATCCACTTTAGCAATAATTATGATCAATTGTCTTTATTAACATTTATATTATATTATAATAATTTATTTATTTCATCAATGTTTAATAAGGTTGATACGCAAAGTTTGTAGTATTTACCACCCTGTAACCCAACAGGGAAACATAGATCATTATGTTGTCTAACGATTATACTGATAACCTCGAAAAAAATAAATAAAAATACAATTACGAACTACCTAAAACAAAGCTTTTTAAAAAAGAAAAAGTTTAGAACATACATTTCTGTGATTGTTTAATGTATGATTTTCCTTTACAGAAAAGCAAGTGTCTCCAAACAACAACTTGAAACAATTATTATTTCGAGAACTTCGGAGTTATTTTGATTTTGTTACTTTTAAGCCTGAATATATTCATATGAATATGTTTGTTACTCCAGTTTAAAAACACTAATCTAAGTGCGTATCATATATCATATCCGTATATAGGTGTATCATATTTTTAATAAGGTTCCTAAATGAGCTTCTGTATGAGTCATACTTGAAAATATAGAGTTAAAAGTGATTACCAGCAGACAGTATGTTTCATTAAAAACATTGTAAAAGTACATTATTCAACAGAAACGTAAAAGAAATTAAGTATTGTTAAAGTATTTAATTTTTGTTAAAAAAATTATCATTATTTAGTTTATCTGATATGTCGCACATTGTTACAGTGGTGACTGGTGTGTTTGTGAAGTCCAATTTATCTATAGACCATAATATTATATCTTTTGCAGGACCATATATCAATACGTTAGGTATAAAAAGGTTATATAGGCATAAAAATCTTAATGGAAGTTTCATAAAAAAAAGTTTTGACAGATTTGTAAACTATATATTTTGATTCCAAATTTATTTGATTTAAAACACCCTGATGTAATAAACCCAGTCTCTTGGAGCTCATCATTGGAATCTATAGAAAATTAAATCAACTGATTGAATTTAAAACATAGTAGGTAACTCTCATCTGTCTGTAGCGTCGTAGGTTCGATACTCGGTTGTACCAATGGACTTTCCGTCTACGCATATAACACTCGCTCGTACAGTGAAGGACATCGTGAGGAAATCGTCCTAAGACCCAAAAAGACGGCGTGTATCAGGCACATAAGGCTGATGACCAACTTGCCTATTTAAAACAAATGATGACGAAACAGAAATCTGAGGCATCTAAAAGGTTGAAGCGCCACTGTTTTTTTTAAAGTAATTCTAGCAACACTTAAAGTAGACAAACTACTTTTTGAAGTCGGTAATAACTAAAAACGCAATATTAGAAATGATGGAACACAAAAAAAAAATGATTGTAACGACTCCGGACTACATCCAAGTTTAGTCATGAAAGAAATCGTAAAAGTATTTAAGTATCCAAACCGTTTTAATAAAAAAACAAATATACAAACAATATTTTGCGAGGCACCCCGTTGTGATACGAGTACACTTACGCAAGGGGCTTATTAAATTAGTGGCTTGATCTTATTATCTCAGGATCCAAACGATAACTAAATTTGTCTTTCTCTACATTTGCATTTTTAGGTAATTATTATGAACTTTCTATTGACTTCAGCTTGAGCCCCATTTCCTCATCCCGGGGTTATATGTATAATTATTTTTAAACTATTAAATGTTCGAATGGTCACAGGTTTTTGTCGATATTGAAAACACTAAAAAAGTTCAGAGCAATCACAATTCTTTTGAAACATAAGTCTTGTTTTACAACTTTTGTGCTTGGAATTCGGTTTCCTATACAATGAAGAGAATACATCGTAAAACGCATGACCAACCATATAAGATTTCAAGGTTCTAATACCCTCGCACGTCAAAAACAGAATTTGACATATGGAAGCTAAGTCAAGCGAACTCATAGCTAAGTTCCGATTTTCGATTTTAATCTGAAAATTAAAGAATCAGAATTAATATCCATTATTATAACTTAGTTATATTAAAAGGTATTTTTCTTATGTTAACTACACTTTAAACAAAACACCATTTGCTTCGAGTTCTTAGAAATAATAGAAAAATAAATTATCTACATATTTCGTATAAGGTATCTAACGAACTGTGGAATCGACTCCCGGTAGGGGTCTTCTCTGGAAAGTACGACCTCCAACAGTTTTAAAAAAGCGCATACTCGTCCCGTAAAGGCCAGCAACCCACCCACTAAATGCCCATGGGCAACGGCTGCCCTTTTTAGGCGTCTCGTAAGCTCGTTTGCTACCCTAAGCTATAAAAAATGCAGTTACTACAAAGGAAAAACTACGTAAAAAACAGTCCTGCAAATAAAAGTTCATAACAAGAAATATAACGTATCTTGTTACAAGATTAGTGAAATATAATTTAAGATGACGTGAAATAATTACACAAGAATTCAAATAAAATATTATAAAGTATTTTTTTATGACCTTTAATAATGTGATGCAGCGGTAACTTTATGGTATCATCAATATTTCAATTTTTAATACTCAGATTTTATTTCTTTATTATTGCCGTTATAAAATTAGATATTGTGTGCGGGGTGAGTACCAAAGAGTTTATAAGCACTGCGTGAGTAGGCGAGAGTCTCTTGAAAAAATAAACTTAAATCGTGCGTCAATTATGTAATTTTCGAAAATAGAACTCGGCTAGAAGGCTCGGATAGGCAGGATAATATGGCGTTTTTTTTCATCGTTAACCTAAGGGGGTTTGAATGCTAAGTTAACTTATTATTTTACTAAGTTATTAAGTAAAACAAGTAAATATTACTTAGTAAAACAAGAAGCCGGCATTAGCGAATATTTCGTTTCTCATCATTTTATTTGTTCTTTGACTTGATCATTGCAATATAAAATTTCCAAAATGCGAATAAATTTCCGAGGGAATCTAAATAATAATAGAAGTCAATTACAATCGAGTACACATTCTGTTTCAAGGAAAAAAGATAAATCTCATAGTCAAAAAAATTTACATAAAAGTATAATAACAAATCGCTACAAGATAAAAAATTGCAGGCGTCTGAAATAATTACATAGATTTATGATCGCGCACTAGATTAAAGGACTATTTTCTCCGTAGCAATTTGCAATGCTACGAAAGAATATAAGCGGGAGGATCGTCAGCGCGCGGCCATACATCGCTTTGTCGAGACCTTGTCCGCTTCGCAAGGACGCATCCTTCCATTTTTGAAATAGCGTGAATGCGGGAAACTCTATCCAGACACAATTAAGGATTACTGTCTGTGACTTGGATTCTAGAATTGAAAAGGTAAGAATTTTTATATGCAATTATTTAAAGCTAGTAGGATCGTATTTGTTTAATAGATTAATAGAATAGAACTTATAGAATTAATAGTAATAATGCTGTATTTGTGCAACGCACATAAATAAACAGTTTAAACAAAATCAATTAATATAAAATACTCTGTCGTTCAACACTTAACATATTTTGTAGCACTTTGTTATATTTTTGTAGTATAAAAGAATTAAACGAGATTGTGATATTTTTAGATAAATCGAAAAAATCTCTAATAGAATATATAAATTACCGCATTTAATTCTAACTGTTATTATATATGGCTATTCGAATTATTTGCATTTCACTATATATATATATATACCTATATATGGTATACGAATAATCTAAAATATTTCTTTGTTAGTGTAAGAAAAAAAATTAAAACCAAACTTTATAAGGTTATTTTATATAAGATGAGTGAGTGAAAAGACGAGAAAAGACGTTAAGGCTTCAAAATATTGACGAAATAGAGCCTAATAGAGATAGATAATATTAAGAAAATCTATGGCCTTAGCCTAGGCTATGACCGGGCGGATAAATGGGCATAGTTACTGGCTAATATTTCCTGAACTAAAATACCTATAAAATTACGTATCTAATATTTAGTAATTATTTTTCACGCTACTTAATTGTTACCATTATGATAATCATAGAAACCTGTAACCTGTACTTAAATGCCTCTAAACAAAATAGGAAAAAACCATAGGAAAAAATTAATGACCGTAAAACATTTTCCTACAACGATTCGTGAACCGTATCTCAAATCTCTATCTACAATAAGAAATAACATACCTATCTTGATACTAGATTTCATTAATGTGTTATAAATAGATAATTTTAACAAGAAATATAAAATAAGTTGGTTTACTATTATTTTTGGGACACGATTGAAATTTTTTCTACCTATAAAACTACATTGCCGAGCGTAACATTTAATAAAAAACTTTTCTATACGAAAATATAAAATAGAAAAATTACATAAGAGTAATTATTTGTTAATTTTGATAAAACTTAAAATAATGAACTCATGTATAATACTCGGGCAAAATATATTTAGTAGTACAAAGTCTATTATACTAAAGTACCGGTGTCTATATAAATTATCCAAAAATATTATAAAAAATATTATACTCGTACGAATTATATAACATGAGAAGTAGTCCAACACTGTATGTAACATAACCTACACATAGGCCGGGAATAAAGCAAGACATTTGTAGCGTTATATACTATACCTAATATGTAGTAAATATCCACGCTATTGTACTTGTTTGGTCTAAATATATATATTAATGACAAAACCAGCTAAAACTAGTTATTATAACCTAGGGTAATTGTAATTTTACTTATCCACATAATAACGAGATCTATACTACAAAATTCCCTTAAACTAATTCCCAAAAATAGTTAAAAAACGAATTAGGAAGTTATAATAATGATAAAATTAATTCTAGCCTCGGACCTTTATTTTTATATTTAGGAA